TTTAATATATAAATTTTTCTGTAGGATCACTTTGCTTGCAATTTACACATTTGAAATACTTGTAAAACTCATTGCAAGAGGCATCTGGACAGGATCTTTTTATTTCTTTGGTGACCCGTGGAACTGGCTTGACTTCAGTGTAACTTTGTTTGAGTAAGTATTATTTAAGTTGTGAACATCTTAATACCTTGTTAAGCAATTGCTTTTCATAAAAACATTGAAGTTGGCAAAATTTTCCACCTGAAAAATTTTTGCGAATATAGAATATTTCATAAATTCTAATCATAGTGAGTTCTCTCAGACAGCTCCAACTGAACTAGGTCATAGAATATGGAATAAAAATGAAAGGAATGGGATATTATCTATATTTTCGACATGAAATAAAGAAAATAGAGGTTGAATTTTTGCTTTTTAAGTTAGTTTTAATGAGCAGAAAATCTGGAGACTTAGCAGAGGATACTAGCATATTTGGTTCTCTCTCCCATTTACATTTTTTTTAGCTACATTTCTTATCACCAGTAAATATATTAGATATCTGAATAAGATATTTTAAAAACACACACACATACATTTTCTACATTTCCTAGAGTGTTGTTACATTAAATTCTAATGATTTACATATGTATTTATTTTTTTAATGCATCTGTTTAATATACTCTGCTTTGTAGCTGAGTGATCAATGGTGTTGAACCTCTATTAAAGAAATTAAAAATAATATTCTATTTCTAGATTTTGGGTCAAGAATTTTTCTTCAAAAAATCTTTATAAAGGTCAATAATTATTGTCTGCCATATGGTAAGCAATAAAAAAATAGTAGCTAAAATTATTGCAATTATCACTACTACTTATACTATTGCTATCATTATTTCTGCTGTTGTGTTAGCAAACACTTAGCTAATAGCTAACATTTAGATATCTTATAGCATGTGCCAGTTGCTTTTCTACGCACTTTACATATATTAGCTGATCTACTAGGCGTACCAGTCAATAATGCGGATTTTTTTTCAACAGATGGAGTTACACATACTAGTATGTTGATATATATGCGATTTGATATGTATGCTATTTTGTTGTATTGATAGCAAGCTTCAAAACTTCATATGTCAAATTTTCTGAAGGTGTTAACATCATAGATATTTTTAAACTTAAAAATATCGAATTTCGTGCCAAAAAAAAGAGCGTTTGTGGAAAGTTTTAATTCATTACTTTATTTTAAAAAAGAAGTTATTGTATATTTCGGGAAGCTTATGGTGAACAAGCTCCATCTCAAGATACTTGTGAACGCTGATTTAAATGCTTTAAAAGTGATGATTTCGATGTGAAAGACAAAGAACGTCCAGATCAACTGAAAACATTTGAAGACTAACAATTTTAAGCATTATTGGATGAAGATGCATGTCAAACTCAAAAACAACTTGCAGAAAGATTAAATGTTGCTCAGCAAACAATTTCTGATTGTTTACAAGCAATTGGAAAGA